TGCATGACGGTGCCGTGATAGATGATGTTCGCGATCGGGGTAGAGGTGGAGTTGATGTAGGCCTGGATCTCGAGTCCGTAAGCGTATGGAACCATGGATGTCGGGAGCACATGGTCGTCGGCTATGATCGTGTACCCGTCTACCGGATAGTTCATGACGATCATCCCGGCACCGCCGGCTTTCTTGACGACTTCACTCATTTGCACACTGTCAATGACGCCAAGCTGGCACAACACTAACTTTCCGCGGACGTCCACACCATCTAAGGTGCCATTGATGCACATGTAGGCGCCATCTTTAGCCGTGACGAAGCCGGGGTAAACGAGAGGTAGCATTTTGGGGTTGAAGGAACGCGGCCGGTGCAGTGATTCCCCATAGAGCTTTCGTCCGTTGCCAAGCTTCACGGAGGCCAAGAAGAGGCGGTCTGTGGTGCTCGCTCCCACCGTAAGTACCCACGGCGCATCGTTATTCACGGAGCCAGGATCAGGCCCCTCGTTGCCGGCTGAGCAGCTGATGAAGACACCTTTGCCGATAGCGTTGAAGGTACCCTGCGCGATCGGGTCCGAGTGGAAGGGAATTGGGTCGGCGCTGATCGAGAAGGAGAGCACGTCGACCCCATCGTCCACCGCGGCGTCCATGGCGGCCAACATGTCGTGACCCATGCATGCGATTTCGTCGCACACCTTGTAGGCAGCGATGTGAGCTCGGGGAGCCATCCCGGCAGCGACTCCCGGGGCGAACCCGTTGACGTTGGCACGCTTCACGAACGCCCCGGCGGCGGTGCTCGACGTGTGCGTGCCGTGACCTTCTTCGTCGACGGGCGTGCCAGTCGAACGACGGTCGCGTCCGTCGTGATTGATGAAGGACCTTGCACCGATGAGCTTGTTGTTGCAAGCCGACGCCTTCAAGTCGCAGCGCCCCTTCCACTTGGCCGGCGGCGGCGGCATGCCGTGGTCGTCGTAGGAAGGATGGCCGGGGGTGACGCCGGTGTCGAGGAGGCCGATGATGATTCCTTCGCCCATGTTGCTCTCGTTCCACACGCCCAGCCTCAGTCCCAGGAACTCGGGTGTGTGTGTTGTCTTAAGGCGGTAAACACGGCTGGGGTAGGCGTGCAGAAACCAGTCCATCGTCGACATGGCCTCCACCTCCCTCGGGGTGAGCCGCGCAGCGAAGCCCGTCATGACGTTGCGGTAGGAGTAGATAAGGCGCGAGCGCGGGTCACCTTCTTCAGACTCCAGTCCTAATGGTGTAGCTGCACTCTCCAAGAGAGAGGAGTACCATTCGCTCCATTGGTCTGCGACATCGAAGTCCATCTTCTCGGGGCCCTTGACGTGAACAATGTAAGCCTTCGGCTCCTCAGAGCCGTCGACATGCAAGCCGGAGCGGAGGAAGGAAGCACAGAGGTAGAGGACGAGGGAGAGGGCATGTTTGCTGAGAGACATTGCAGGGATGAGAAGATGCATCACAAAGCAGTGGAGGATGGATATTTAAGAGTGCGGCAGAATACTCGATTTAGTGACGAGTAGCTGTTTGCCAAACCGCCGGAAACTCGATTAGGAAATGGATCTTCTATATCAGGAAAATATTTGTTTGCGCTGAACCAGAATCTAACAGCTGCGCGGACTGTTTGTGTTGGATTTTTTTATCTGTGCTGAACCAGAATTAGATTTGTGACATGGAAATTTTTCTATGGACATATAATGAATTTTTTTTTTAGAAATACCATAATAAGAGGATAGGTTCCATTAAATCTTTCCTGTAAATGCCTTTTCTGTAGTTATCACTTTTTTTTTATTCTACTATTGAATCCATTGATTACTATTTTTCTCAATAACAGCATATTTTAGTCAGAATTTGCAAAACATAGATCAATGTTTGCATCCGCCATCAAATCCTGTTCAGGTAATACAAAAATTTGTGAGCTATATTTGTTGGGAAAAATCTATTAAAGCGGAATAATTTTTTTTCTCTCTTTGTGTATCAAAATGGATTCCTTATCTCAAAATACTAACTTGACGTGAAAAACCCAATGTGAAAAAATTACGTTATCGTAGTCCACCTCAAACTTCCACCATCATCAATAATGATAATAAGTTTACAATAAATCTTTTTTAAAATAACAAGAGGATCATTATAATATCAAGACCACATATCTTGGCTCAAGAATAGTATATCATCATCACATGAATGGATCCCATCAAAAAAAAAATTCTAGGTCTCATAAAATGAGTATCATAGGAAAGTACCTTAGAGAGGATAAATTACGGATTAGCATCATTAGGATTATAGAGCTTGCTGCAAGGATTTTTCACATATAATTTGGGTCAAAATTGATAAAGTTTGACCCCGTGATCATCAAGCAGAAAACTCAAAATTTTACTTTTTTCTCTCCCCGTGCGTCGCCACCATTCACTGCACGCTCTCTAGTTCGCTCCCCTCACGTCTCCTCCTTTTTCAATTTTTTTTTTAATTATTGATAAATTAGATTTGGGCTTACAACCCAAATCATTAGTCTAAGCCTACGTATTGGCGGACCAATAATTCTGCCCCTCCAACTCGGTGGGCTATATACTAAGCCCGCTCTTCGCCTACATGCTTGAAGCTTCTCCTTAGGCAAAGACTTTGTCAACATATCTGATTCATTCTCATTAGTATGTACATTTTCCAACTGTAATTCTTTTATCTCAAGCACATCATAAATCTAGTGATATCTCACATCAATATGCTTAGATCTAGAATGGTATGTTGAATTCTTGGAGAGGTGAATGACGCTCGGACTGTCAAAGTAAACATTATATCCTTCTTGTTTTAAGCCCAATTCTTATAGAAACTTTTTCATCCATAAAGTTTTCTTACAAACTTCAGTAATTACTATATATTCTGCTTTTGTGGTTGATAAAGCAACACAATTCTGTAACTTAGATTACTAAGAGACTGCTCCTCCTGCAAATGTCATCAAGAATCTCGAAGTAGACTTCCTGAAATCAGTATCACCTGTTATTTCTGCATCTGTGTATCCTTCTAGGTTCATCACTGCCAAAACATAAACACAATCTAGAAATACCTCTTAGATATCTTAATATCCATTTCATTGTTGCCCAATGTTCCTTTCTAAGGGTCGGTCAGCGAAAGACGTTTCGAGGGTGCAGAATACAACATGAAGCAGTGAAGAGCCAACAATAACAAGTGTCAGGAAGCAAGGGAAGAAGAGGAATAATAAGAATCGATTGAATGCTCAAACGATGAAGCCTCATTTTCATAGCAACCAGCTTGTTTGCGAGACTCTGAAATAGGCTTATGTGCTCAACAATATTACCACCATCTTTATACTTCAAATTTACAAGTCTTCTGAATAGAGAAATTCTATTTTTCATTATTTTTTTCGCAAAGAGAGTTTCTAATCTTTGCCAAACAACATCAGCTCTGATTTCATCAGAAATATGCTCATGCAAATTTATGTCCATCCATATTCTAATATAAGCAATAACTTTTCTATATTGAGCCTCTCATTCCTCATCGTCCATAGTAGAAGGTTTATCTTTAACCTCGATGGGCTTATACAAATCTTTGTAATAAAACAAATCTTCCATCATATGCCTCTAAGTTAAATAATTTGATGAGTTCAATTTAATCATATTATCTGACTCTTCCATTTCAATCACACAAGAAAAAACTAGCACCAAACAACCTGTTGCTCTGATACCAATTGTTGGGAAAAACCTGTTAAAGCAGAATAATTCTTTTCCCTCTTTATGTATCAAAATTGGTTCCTCATCAAAATATCAACTTGATATCGAAAGCACATATAAACTAGAACAACATAAATAATAGAACAATGAATCAATTACAAAGTGAGACAAAATTCTTAATATGAAAAACCCAATGTGAGAAAAA